AACTCCTTGGGTTGTTCCAGCATTTATTAGAGGTAGCCCCAGCTACCTTTTCAAGGACTTGAGTCCTCTTCCGTATTTGACCTCCCACGGTCATTACTTCTGGTCTCACATTCATGAGCACCAACCTCAACTATATGAGGAAAATCTTGTGACTCCTTTATTGCTTTGGAGTCTTTATCTTTCCCGTGATCCCAACTGTAGTTGTTTACCACAACTACATTAGCCAGTTTGCTAAGTCAAACGCTCATCTGGATCACATCCTCAACTCTTTGAGGAAAACCATATACTGTTCCCAAGATCCCAAAGTCGTTCCATTATTGGCCCTTTTCTATCCACCACCTCGTCTACAAGTTCACACATGAACTGTAATGGAAAGCCATGTCTTCCCGACTTGCTACTCCTCAAGGATAGGCCCACTCCTCGGACCTTCCGATGCCAACACTAGTGGTGATGTACTTGAGCACCAATAAAAGTCGGACTAAGGAACAGCTCCGATACCAAATTGTAAGCGACTAAATTTTCCATTCTGCTTTAGTCACTTAACCACACCACTAACCACTTGGAGGAGTCTCATTCACAACCTCCATAAGTCCAATCCAGGATTTGGGACTTGCTAGCCCCGAGAATGGCATCCATGCCATTCAACATTTGCACTTGGTCCAAGTGCTCCACGTGTCCGATCCCATGACCGACACTCAAAGGTACCACCGACATAGCAGCCCGTTACGCTAAGGCCATGCCCAATCACCTTTGCCACACTTGTAGTCCAATACCACTTGCATCACAGTCTTGGCTCTCCAAGACTAGGCAAACCATCCGTGAGTGGTCATCTCAGATCCACTCCTTAGCATCCTTAGGATGCCCACCGACAAGGGGAATAGCCTTCCCCAATATCCCTCTGTCAGTCCCCACTAAGTCCCTTTCTGCCCCTGGCCGTGTTTGCCAACACTGCCACTGGATCGAGACCCACAGGCCCGGCCACTAAGTCCCACGGTCCTCTGGGACTTCCTCACCACACGACTGTGTCCTTGGTCCCTACCCCAAAGGACTGCTCCTCTTCCTTTCCACAGTCTGGGCCTTTGGGACAACATTTCGGAACACCGTGGCCTTACGCGAGCCACCTGGGTACTCTCCTCGCCTTCTGCCCTTGGGTGCTCTAGCCATGGCTTAGAGCGGGTTCCGTTGAGCCACACCAGGTATCCAAGTAGGTAGTGCCACCCACACTTGGACTGGGAGCATCGGCCAGTCGATCTCCCGGGGGAACTAGAGCCGGCTCTTGAACACTTCACCAAGCTACCCCGCTTGTCGGTCTGTGTTCACTCTAGTCTTGGACATCCCAGTGGGCAGCTCATCACCCAACACTGGGTCCGGCCTTCCTAGGCCAAACTGGCCTTTCCTGGCCAAACTGGCTCCACTGCAGTCCTCCCCCTACTATACTTTTGGAGCTCACCAAACCCCCCAGGGTCTGGGAGACGAACGCCTTGGGCTTTCACCCTCTCAGGCTCCGGACTCGGACTCGGACTCGGACTCGGACTCGGACTCGGACTCGGATTCGGACTCGGACTCGGGCTCGGGCTCGGTCTCGGCCTCGGCCTCGGTCTCGGTCTCGGTCCCGATTTCGGTCTCGGTCTCGGTCCCGGTCTCGGTCCCGGTCTCGGTCCCGGTCTCGGTCTCGACTTCGGACTCCATCTCGGACTCCATCTCAGACTCCATCTCGGGTCCATCTCGGACTCCATTTCGGGTCCATCTCGGACTCCATCTCGGACTCCATCTCGGGTCCATCTCGGACTCCATCTCAGACTCCATTTCGGGTCCATCTCGGGTCCACCTCGGACTCCATCTCGGACTCCATCTCGGACTCCATCTCGGGTCCATCTCGGGCTCCATCTCGGACTCCATCTCGGGTCCATCTCGGGTCCATCTCGGACTCCACTTCGGACTCCAACTCGGGTCCATCTCGGACTCCACTTCGGACTCCAACTCGGGTCCATCTCGGACTCCACTTCGGACTCCAACTCGAGTCCATCTCGGACTCCACTTCGGACTCCAACTCGAGTCCATCTCGGACACTACTTCGGACTCCAACTCGAGTCCATCTCGGATACTACTTCGGACTCCAACTCGAGTCCATCTCGGACACTTCCACGTGTCATGTGTTGGTCCTTTTGGGTCCCTTTTTGGAGCCTCGCTTTTTGCTCGCTTCGTGCTCGTTCCTCTTGCACTTCGTTGGGAGTTCCACTCCCGCTCTTGACTTTTCAAGTCGGAGCTTTTGGTCCAAACGTGTTACGCTCGTTTGGCTCTCGCTTCAGCCACTACCACGTGGCACCCTTTCCGGCTCCACTTTGGGGCCTAGGGATTTTGTGTCTCACAGTAACCTCCTTAATTTGGACTTCCTTGGAGGTTATTCAACCCGTTAAACCCAAGAACATTTAACCCTAAGTATCCCAAAACCTTTAATTGATTGGATAAAGAAGTGCACTTTTATTCATGGGCCCTTTTCCTCTATATTTGAACTCTATGGATCATCTTTCAAGTCATTTTTTTTAGTTGCTTACACAATGCAAATGCATACAATAGTGAGCGGGAGTTTTTTTCCAACATGTCTAAGTGTTACTTATATATTACATGATTTTATATCCATTCCTAATTACTTAACACTTGTCTATGATGAGCATTGCCTAGGTCAAGTCATTTTTCTTTGGATCCCTAAACTTAAGTGTAATTCCATTTTGCCTATACTTTTTTCTTTTGCTCTACTTGGGAAGATACAAAATATAAAACATTTATCTCTTCATTAACTCTTCTCATCTAAATGTTACTACATACAATTGCAACATCCATATTGTCAAATCTCCTTCAGCATGCTGCTCTTGGGAGAATTCTAGGTCCAGACATCAACACTACACACCCTTCCATAGTACACAATCCAAATATGAGCCCCACCAATTCATGGAATTGGTTGGCTATGATCAAGAACATGAGCATGGAGTGAGTGGTTAAACATCATTAACCTGGGACCATCTACAAAGGTGTTGCTATATAGAAAAAAGTGCTATAGTCTAGTTATTTTGCTATAAGCAACTAGTACAAGAAGGTCCCTTCTATTACAATATAAGCAACTAGTAGGTCACCTAAATCCCTGCTAAAACATTTATAATGATTCCTTATGTTCAAGCTATTTTGAGTCATATGCAAATCTTTCTAAGTATCATGATGTGAAACTAAAGTGTTGAGAGAGCTAGATTGCAAATCAATGGCAACAAAGGATAAACTCAATAGGATGCATTAGAGACATGACTCTAAACAATATATGTCCACAAATTTGCAATGGAGCTAGATGGAGTTTAGTTACACTTGCTTTGAACACAATGTTAAAAGAAGTGTGCCAAAAAATGATAATTTGGTTCTTTTGCCATGAGCAACAAGAGTAAGAGGTGAGAATATAATGCTCTAGACAAAGCAGTATAGTATGTAATTTGGTCAATTGTCCATTTGGTTTGCAACATTAACAACTTGTTTGAATGCATGGGATGAATCGGTCTATGAGGCCATAAATGGATCCACATATAGCATAGGCCATTGCTATGGGCATGAAGCCTCATCCATGGCATAAGGAATGGATATTCATGATATATCCTATGCTTGTGTTTTTTCCACACTAATATTACATGTGGACCAATAGGAGCCAGACACATCTTTGAAGTATATGAATGATTCAGCTTGATTCAAGATATTATTAGTGAGAGCTGCCATAACATCTCACCAAGTGATTTTTCCACCAGGAACTTAAATCTTATGGTGTGCAATTCGTAAAAGGGTAGAAAATACAGCAGTCTATTTCATTCACAATGACCAAACCAAAATCCAAGGAGACCACCTACCCACACTGTAAAAAGGCCAATTATGAAGAAGATTAAATACCCCTCTTATGCAACCACAAAAGCATGTACATGTCTACTTCCTCTGTTAAGTGAAAATTTATCAAGATGAAGTGGATAAAACTGTTTTCTATACTTTATTATAGGGAAAATTGAAGTTTCAAAAGGCCAATTTAGATAGAGCTAAAGTTTGTTCATTCTTTCCTAAGTATGATTTAATATTTACTTGAGATTCATGTTTGCTTGAGATGTTCTTGTAAGCAATAAGATCTTTAGACTTAGAAGATTTGCTGCCAAAACAGCACCAATGACACTTCCAGAATAACCCCTCATGCTCATCATCAAAATCAAGTTGGGCATAGAGTGCTGGAGCAACAGTAAGATCTTATTGCCTTCGGGAGAAATCCTACTATAGAAAAAAAGAAATCCATTCATATTGAAAATCTCAAGAATGACAAAAATGAATTTTATTGTGGGTGTTATGGTCATAACTGTATCAATTTCTAGTTATAAATGTAATATTAGAAGTATTTTGCAATATCTAAAAGTTCAGAGGGTTTAGATTTTGCTTTGTGGTTATCCTATGGTTTTTTTTTTTTTTTTGGCAATTTTAAAAATTTTAAGGGGCTTTTATATAATTTTCCCTTTATTTTATTGAGATAGTTGTCCAGATATTCTTAGCACCTGTGATATTGGGAATTAAATCCGATATTTTAAATTTATATGAATTGATGATATTAACATGTGTCATTTTGATTGGTTTGCAGCAAGTGATCATGTGATAAAAAAAATACATTATTATAAATTTAAAAGCTATAATAGTGGTGGTATACTTGGAAGTGATTATCATTGTGACTGTTTGTCAAAATCCAAGAAATCATGTCACTTGGGATGAAATGCATTATACTCAACATTATATGAGGCATCATTTAATTTGTTCTGCATGGCAATTTTACCCTTTGTGTTGGCAGTGGACAAAATGTCTTCTTACAACCATACTCGTAATTTTCTTCTTTCTTGAAGAGTGTTCCTTCCACGAAGTGCTCGCGCTTTAGTGTCCATTTTGGAGAGCACTGCACAGTACATACAATGGTGACAATGCTAAAGCTAGAACAATAGAACCTTAGCAGTCTCGCTAAGGTAGAGGACTGCGAGGTTCTGATTATAAGATTTGCTCGTATGGCATTCGTTCCTTGGTGATTTTAGCGAACTGGCGAAACCCGCAAGCACAAGCCGGTCATTGTGCATGGCCAGGACTTGGCAGACTTATCTCTCTGACCTCTACACGTAGCCCCAGTGTCAAATCACAAGAGAAAGGAAGCAAAAGAAGTGTCAGGAAGGACGCGTTGCAAGAAACTGCTTAGGAACTCCCTCGTTTTGATCGTGACGATCCATGGTTTTACAATCCCTGAAGGAAAGGAACTGAAAAGCAAACTGCAAGTGCTGTAAACGAGTGTCCCACCCTGCTTCAACAGTCTGAAGCCGTTGCTAGCTACACTTCCAAGATGTCAAGGACCAACACGAAACTAGATGACTCGATACCTGAAGATTAGTGATTGTAGATATGCGTTCCGAGTTGAAAAACCGTTTCTCGGAGGTTTTCCATCCCCACTGCTCAAACTTGCAGATGTGCTTCAGCGAGCCATCGTGAGTACACTCGGCATCCACGAGCACCTGTGGAGAAAACCACCAAGCATTCGTAAACAACACAAAGCGAGCCTTAGCCCGTGCCTGGTGCAAGGACACTCCTCAATTCTCTTCCTACAATCCCAGAGCCACTGCCATCTTCGCCAGTTCTTGAGAGACAGCTCCCTTTTCGATTTAGGAGGTCTCCAATCAGTGAGTATCAAGAGATAAGAACAGGACTGGTCCGAAGACGCAAGCACAAAGTTTCACTTGTAAGAAAGAACAGGATCGAATACGTACATGGTTGTTTCTCAAGGAAACTGGATTGCTATGCTTTTTTAACTGCCAGGATGGAGAACGTCCTCCCGTCGGCAAGGAACACCCTCGCTCGGCTACCGTTCCAGCCCCCACACCTAAAACCTCTGCCATCATGATAGTTTCGGACCTACAAGTTGAAAGAACTCCCATAAACTGCAATGAAAGCTTCGGTTACCAAGAACTGCGCAGACGTCGAGGACGTGATCACATCAAGTGCTGCAACAGCAGCCCCGGAGGCCACATCCATACCGTAAATCTGTCGACCACAAGAACAAACAAGAGTTCTCGAAGTTTTCTTTTTTCTGTATCATTTTTTCTCACCTGTCCAGAATTGTAGGCACTGGTGACGCTTGGGATGAACACTGGAAAAATCCGGGTAGCCAAGAAACAGGCTCGAATTTGATCCCAAGTTCTTTCGCTAACTGGCACTCGGCTTTACTCTGGCAATCCAATCAAGCAAAGGAAAGGAATCCCGAGTTCTAGTACCTGAAGTAAAGCGGCAGCGTTTGACGTATGGTAGACGCGATGATCCACATTCTGCCCAAGAAGAAAATCCACGAACTCCGGAGGCAGGGAAGAAGATTTGGCGTGGCGCCTTGGTCTTTGCAAGAGAATGGGTCGCTCGCGGCGGCTGGCGCTACCTCAATTCACGCGATTGCTCACGAAAGATCAAACTATTGTCACGGAACTCATTAAACCGTTGCGATGAAAGCTTAGCTTAACGATCACCAGATTGTATCAAACGAGGCCACATCCAACTCTAAGGGGAGAGAGAAAAAGAGAAAATTCAGCCATATAGTCATCTAGAAGTATTTTCGTCTCACCTTGTAACTGGATGATGCCGCAAAGAAATGAATCGATCGCCGTAAAGAATACAAAGAAAAAAAACGTTTACCTTTGACGACTTTGAACTCATCATAAAAGGAGCGTTTTAAAATAAGCGATGGCGGCGTTGGCTGCCGAGTCTTTGGCACGCTTTACATCTCGCTGGGGCTCTCCATAAAATGTCACGGGTCCATGGATTGGAAGACTGATTTTCACAGCCAAAATGTATCTACAAGACGAAGAAAATCATCAATGAGCAGGATTACGAGTTTCATACTGTTCTTTTCTTACTGTCTCATGTGAGGAGGACCAGTCTCCTCCGAAATAATGTACTCGGGATCCGACCACCGTCGCTTCTGACAGAGAATTTGAAGCTCTGCTCTTGGAGCTCCAACAATGTAAGAATCAATGCCACCACCCTCTGGAAAGCAAAAACAAATCTTAAGGAAAGAAACATGAAGTAGCTTTAACCGTGTCTAGGAGGAACAGTCGACGAAGCTGTAGCACTGCAATGCTGCTCGAGGAGATGACTAGTTGCATCGTCGAGACCAAACTCTTCCGCAAGTGATGCTGCTAGAACATCTGACTCGTGTTCAGTGTTGCCAGGTTCTAAATCGGAAGGCAAGTCATGGTCTGGAGCAAGACTTTCCTGCCGAGATAGATCTGATTCTGCAGAAGAACTCGAGCTCGCCACTGGTGGTACGAAGGGTTCAAGCTCCGATTCCATGCACTTAATGACGGGGACACTGAAGTTCAAACCGTTGTTTATGATGACCTTTGAGGCCTCTATGTGTGTCTCGGCCCGAATAGCACGAAGGAGTTCGTGCCGTGGATGTTGAAATCCCAAAGCCTGAATACAAAAGAAAAACTGTAACGTTTTCGGAGCAGAACTTGTTATTACCTTCAGTCTTTTCAAGGCATCGACAGAAGACTGCTTCTTGAGAAGCCTTTTGTTTGCTCCTCCGGAGCCTTGTCCTGTGACTAAGCCTCCGTCTGCCAATGTCACCGAGCAAGTTCCAACGTTGTAGCTTGGAGCTGAAATTTCTTTCAGCTGGCATAGCTCCTGAAGCTCTCGGACTGGGTGAAGTGCCAAGCTCTCGGGACTGGCAATCGGGCGCAGAAGAGGCTCCAATATGCTCCACACTAGTTCCAGATTACCACCCGTGTCAAATAACAAAGCTCCCGCGAGAGATTCCACTAAATCACTGAGACACTGCAAAAGAAAAAGAGACAAGCGTCAAGAGGAGGACAAACTTTAAAAGCTCAGAGACTGACCTTTGGCGGTTGCTCAAGCTGCCAGTCCAAGAAACATTGCACATTTTTGTTCAGAAGATACTCGTCAATCTCTTTCTTATGGTTGTGACGCAGATACTTGTGAAAGTTGTGGCGCACAGCAACGAAAGCGAACCAAACGTTGTTTACTGTAGCAGCCTTGAGATCACTGAGAAGTCCCGGTTGCAAGCTGGGATAGCTAGCATAAAGATGAAGAACAATAAGGTAATCCAGGACAGCATCGCCTAAATACTCCAGCCGCTGACAACTAACCAGTGTTAGTCCAGCTCCAAAAGTTACTTGTTTACCTGATACGATTGAACGCTGGAAGAAGCATGAGTGAACGCTTCAACAAGGAAGCATTTGTTCCGAAAGGTATAGCCGATTATCTTTTCCAGATTGCAGATATCGTCAACTTCAGAAGCTTGGCATGAGAACACAGGTACTAAACACCTGTCAACCAGCTTAAATCCTGCCCAGGTCATGAAGTGATAGGCAGCATCAGCGGAGTTGTCAGTAATGTATGCACCGATGATGGCCTCCATTACATCTGCAACCGATTTTCTTCGCAGCCAACGATGACCTTTGTCACAGAACTTCCGTCCTAAAAGCTTTTCGTGACTGGCCAAAGAAGAGCAAGGGACCGGTGCAATCCAATCCTTCGGCTCAAACTGCCCGTCTCTCATGTACGTCTGTAAGTTCTGTTTAAGAGACTAGAAACATATTATTGCATGCTTACCACCAATCCTCTTTGTACACCAAACCTGTGCAAATTGCTGTTAGAGATCTGCTCTTGACGCTTTTGAGTAAGAAAGCCTTCTTGTTCTTCCGGATATTCAGAGACCAAGTGCAAGCTCAGTGCAAATTTGAGGAATGAATCGCCTAAAAACTCGAGTCTCTCGAGAGAAAAGCCTTCATTACAGCTTGCAGAAGTCAGTGCCATCAACATCTGCAGGGAAAAAAGAAAAATGAAAACAATAAAAATATGAACGCGAACAGCATTTTACCATGGTTGTAGAGATGTGGATGCCCACGAGTTTCGTCAGCTGTGCAGCAGCACTTAGACATTCTAGCCGGTAGATAACGGAAGGAAGCACCATTACGGACGCCACAACGGAGTAGTCAAGTTCTGGTTCTAAGAGAATGCAAAGCTCGGGCGGCAGCTCAATAGTCGATTTCCTATGCGACGTGCCAGGCATGTCTGTTGAACGTGGCAGTAAATAGTTTTGCACATCGCCAAGCATCTTCACTTTCAGAAGGGGTTGGGCTGGATATTGCAGTTTCATATTATGCCTATAAGTCGCTCCTCACAATCAGAAACGAAGAAGGAACTCACAAATCTTACCTTTTCAAGAAGTAGTCGGAATAAGTACTATATTTGGGATTGGAAAACGGGCTTTGCGCGGTTGTTTCTTTAAGAACACCCAAAAGAGAATGAAAAACTGGTTCATTGGTATGCTTTGTAAGAATCAATCCTCCTTTGATATCTGTAGCTCGCAGCGAATAGTTCGCAAAATGTAAAACACTTTTGTCATCGCTGTCTGAGACCATTGATGGAGGTGTGAGAGACTGAACGCAATTCCAGTCCACATCCAAAACATTTATCTTTCCAGGAAGCAGCGGCAGAAGGAAGTATGGCTGGAGATGAGGCCATCGTCGCCATAAAGTAGCGAAAACATTTTCGTAGAACTGATTTACGGCAGCAACCTTGAAAAGCAGAGCATAAGTCAAAACATTATCCACAAAAGCGACAAAATCCTTACCTTGTCACTGTCTAAGCTGATATTTTGCATCGAGCCAAGCCGAACCACAACATTTCTTCCACGTCCCAAATCCAGTTCGAAGGTTTCATTTTCGAGGGAGGCATCCAGCTTTGATGACAAGAACAGCGCAAAGTTACGATAGGAGAACCTGTCGTCACTGGAGCTAAAGGAAAGCACGTAGGTGTGGAAGGTCAGATTTTCAGAAAACACACCCAACTGTCCTTGGAAAACATCAGGTATGATCGTCTCATACATATCCATGTCATCTGAATCTAATATAGTGTGATTACTTCAAGAAAACGTTAGTGGATTCAACACACCTGAAGTCATTGAGGCAGTATTGGAGATCCTAGTAGGAGGAACTGGATGTAATTTATCTGATAGAAACCCAGTCGTGTGTAGCTTTCGACAAGCTTCCAGTCACACAATTTTCTCGAATAGAAATGTCTGATAGCTAAGATTTTCCAGCTACATTAATGATAGAAAATCGATCTTCGTTACCTGCGCAGATTCGGCTACGTTTGGAGCTTGAGTCGATTGATCTGAGCCGATTGAAGCTGGACGAAACAGTGAAACCCTAGGACCCTAATGTCGTAGATTCTGACAGATCGAAGCTGCGTATGAAACATCCATGATACCGTTATCATCTTTTCCTTATTAAATTCATGAGAGAGCATCTATCCAAGAGATAAGCTCGTCAACTCGTCACAGGTACGCGCTTTGATGGTTAGTCCCTCAGCAGTGATCACAATGGGCTCGAGATTGCCGAATCAGATAGTGGGTTCGTATGTGTCGAGGACGATCAAGGCTCCTAAAACTTGTCCCGCCTATGGTTGGGAATGTAGAGCGCTGTAAGGTGTCTCCTAGATCGACCGGAAAGCTCGTGAAAATGCAAACGACGAGAACACACGACACCACCCTGACATTGTGAAACGACAATTATCAAAGCTGACCTTAGTATTAGCAGCGGATCTTACAACCATACGCGTAATTTTCGTCTTTCTTGAAGAGTGTGCTCGGGCTTTACTGTCCATTTTGGACATAGGGGCACTGTACACTCGCGAAGGTAGAGAAGTGCGAGATTCTGATCATAAAGATTTGCTCGTATGGCATTCGTTCCTTGGTGATTTTAGCGACAAACTGGCGTTTGGTGTTGGAAACGCGCAAGCAAGCCGGTCATTGTGCATGGCCAGGACATGGCAGATTTGATCTGTCTCACCTCTGCAACATATAGCCCTCAAATCACAAGAGAAACGAAACAAAAGAAGTGTGTAGCTTAACCCGCATCAGGAAGGATGCGTTGCAAGAAGAAACTGCTTAAGAACTCACCTGTAGCCATCGACAAGAGCGGCATCGGCCGTGCCTGGTGCAAGGAAACTCCGCAATTCTCTTCCTACAATCCCAGAGCCACTGCCGCCTTCGCCTTTTCTTGAGAGACAGCTTTAGGCGGTCTCCAATCTCCCTTCAAGAGATAAGAACAGGACTGATCTGAAGACGCAAGCACAAAGTTTCACTTGTAAGAAAGAACAGGAGCGAATACGTACGTGGTTGTCTCTCAAGGACACTGGATTGCAGTGCTTTTTTTGCTGGCAGGATGGAGAACGTCGTCCCGTCGGAAAAGGAAAAGCCTCGCTCGGCTACCGAACTCATACTTTTGGAGCATGGTCCGACAGGCTGCTAGGCGATGGCGAGAAATATCAACTCCTGTTAGTATTCCAGCCCCCACACCAAAACCTCAAGTTGAAAGAACTCCCATAAACTGCAATGAAAGCTTCGCTTACCAGGAGCTGCGCACGTGATCACCGGATTGTATATCAGGTGCTGCAACAGCAGCCCCGGAGGCCGCATCCATACCGTAAATCTGTCGAAAATGAAACAAACAAGAGTTCTCGATTTTTTTATTTTATTTTTCATATTTTCTCACCTTTCCAGACTTGTAGGCCCTGGACGATGCCAGTGAAAACACTGGAAACATAGCCAAGAAACAGGCTCGATTTTGATCCCAAGTTCTTTCGCTAACTCCCCGCGGCTTTACTCTGGCAATCCAATTAAACAAAGAAAAGGAATCCCGAGTTCTAGTACCTGAAGTAACGCAGCGTTTGAGCCGCGTGGTAGACGCGCGGATCCACAATCTGCCCGAGAAGAAAATCCAAGAACTCCGGAGGCAGGGGAAGAAGATTTGTAGCAACAGCAGTGGCGCCTTCGTCTTTGCAAGAACGTAACTCATTAAACTCATTGCGATGAAAGATTAGCTTACCGGAGGACGTGATCACTAGATTGTATCAAACGAGGCCACATCCAACTCCAAGGGAGAAAGAAGAAGAGAAAATCAGCCATATAGTCATCTAGAAGTATTTTCGTCTCACCTTGTAGCCACTGGATGATGCCGCAAGAAATCATGAAAGGAGCTTTTTCAAATAAGCGATGGCGGCGTTGGCTGCCGAGTCTTTGGCCCGCTTCATGTCTCGCTGGGGCTCTCCATAAAATGTCACGGGTCCATCGATTGGAAGACTGATTGTCACAGCCAAAGCAAAGCTACAAGATGAAAAAAAAAACAACAATCAGCAGGATTAGGAGTTTCATTCTTTTCTTTTCTTTTCTTACTGTTTCTTGTGCGGAGGACCACTCTCCTCGCAAATAATGTACTCGGGATCCGACCACCGTCTCTTTTGGCAGAGAATTTGAAGCTCTGCTCGTGGAGCTCCAGCAACAAAAGAATCACTGCCACCACCTTCTGGAAAGAAAACACAAATCGTAAGGATAGAAACATGAAATAGCTTTTACCGTGTCTAGGAGGAACAGTAGACGAAGCTGTAGCACTGCAAAGCTTCTCGAGGAGATCATCGTCGAGACCAAACTCTTCCGCAAGTGATGCTGCTAGAACATCTGACTCGTGTTCAGTGTCGACAAGTTCTAAATCGGAAGGCAAGTCATGGTCTGGAAGACTTTGCTGCCGAAATAGATCCGATTCTGTAGAAGAACTCGAGCTCGACATTGGTGGTACGAAGGATGCAAGCTCCGATTCCATGCACTGTGTAACGACGGGGACACTGAAGTTCAAACCGTTGTTTATGATGACCGTTGAGGCCTCTATGTGTGTCTCGGCCCGAATAGCATGAAGGAGTTCGTGCCGTGGGTGTTGAAATCCCAAAGCCTGAATATAAACAAAAAACTGTAACGTTTTCGGAGCATAACTTGTTATTACCTTCAGTTTTCCCAAGGCATCGGCAGAAGACTGGTTCTTGAGAAGCTTTTTGTTTGCTCCTCCGGAGCCTTGTCCTGTGACTATGCCTCCGTCTGCCAATGTCACCGAGCAAGTTCCAACGTTGTAGCTTGGAGCTGAAATTTCTTTCAGCTGGCATAGCTCCTGAAGCTCTCGGACTGGGTGAAGTGCCAAGGTCTCGGGACTGGCAACCGGGCGCAGAAGGGGCTCCAATACGCTCCACACTAGTTCCAGATTACCACCCGTATCAAATAACAAAGCTCCCGCGAGAGATTCCACTAAATCACTGAGACACTGCAAAAGAAAAAGAGACAAGCGTCAAGAGGAGGACAAACTTTTAAAGCTCAGAGACTGACCTTTGGCGGTTGCTCAAGCTGCCAATCCTCGAAACATTGCACATTTTTGTTCAGAAGATACTCGTCAATCTCTTTAAGCTTGTGACGCAGATACTTGTGAAAGTTGTGGCGCACAGCAACGAAAGCGAACCAAACATTGTTCACTGTAGCAACCTTGAGATCATTGAGAAGTCCCGGTTGCAAGCTGGGATAGCTCGCATAAAGATGAAGAACAATGAGGTAATCCAGGACAGCATCGCCTAAATACTCCAGCCGCTGACAACTAAGCAGTGTTAGTCCAGCTCCAAAAGTTACTTGTTTACCTGATACGATCGAACGCTGGAAGAAGCATGAGTGAACGCTTCAACAAGGAAGCATTTGTTCCGAAAGGTATAGCCGATTATCTTTTCCAGATTGCAGATATCGTCAACTTCAGAAGCTTGGCATGAGAACACAGGTACTAAACACCTGTCAACCAGCTTAAATCCTGCCCAGGTCATGAAGTGATAGGCAGCATCAGCGGAGTTTTCAGTAATGTATGCACCGATGATGGCCTCCATTACATCTGCAACCGATTTTCTTCGCAGCCAACGATGACCTTTGTCACATAACTTCCGTCCTAAAAGCTTTTCGTGACTGGCCAAAGAAGAGCAAGGGACCGGTGCAATCCAATCCTTCGGCTCAAACTGCCCGTCTCTCATGTACGTCTGTAAGTTCTGTTTAAGAGACTAGAAACATATTATTGCATGCTTACCACCAATCCTCTTTGTACACCAAGCCTGTGCAAATTGCTGTTAGAGATCTGCTCTTGACGCTTTTGTGAAAGAAAGCCTTCTTGTTGTTCCGGATATTCAGAGACCAAGTGCAAGCTCAGTGCAAATTTGAGGAATGAATCGCCTAAAAACTCGAGTCTCTCGAGAGAAAAGCCTTCATTACAGCTTGCAGAAGTCAGTGCCATCAACATCTGCAGGGGAAAAAGAAAAATGAACACAATAAAAATATGAACGCGAACAGCATTTTACCATGGTTGTAGACATGTGAATGCCCACGAGTTTCGTCAGCTGTGCAGCAGAACTTAGACATTCTAGCCGGTAGATAACGGAAGGAAGCACCATTACGGACGCCACAACGGAGTAGTCAAGTTCTGGTTCTAAGAGAATGCAAAGCTCGGGCGGCAGCTCAATAGTCGATTTCCTATGCGACCTGCCAGGCATGTCTGTTGAACGTGGCAGTAAATAGTTTTGCACATCGCCAAGCATCTTCACTTTCAGAAGGGGTTGGGCTGGATATTGCAGTTTCATATTATGCCTGTATGTCGCTCCTCACAATCAGAAACGAAGAAGGAACTCACAAATCTTACCTTTTCAAGAAGTAGTCGGAATAAGTAATATATTTGGGATTGGAAAACGGGCTTTGCGCGGTTGTTTCCTTAAGAACACCCAAAAGAGAATAAAAAACTGGTTCATTGGTATGCTTTGTAAGAATCAGTCCTCCTTTGATATCTGTAGCTCGCAGCGAATAGTTTGCAAAATGTAAAACACTTTTGTCATCGTTGTCTGAGACTATTGATGGAGGTGTGAGAGACTGAACGCATTTCCAGTCTACATCTATCTTGCCAGGAAGCAGTGGCAGAAGTAAGTATTGCTGGAGATGGATTGGAGGTAGTCGTCGTTGCCATAGGATAGGAAAAACTATTTCGTAGAACCGATTTACGGCAGCAATCTTGAAAATCGGAGCATAAGTCAAAACATAATACACAGAAGCGACAAAACTTACGTTGTCACTGTCTAAGATGATATTTTGCACGGAGCCTAGCTGAACCACAACATTTCTTCCACGTCCCAAATTCAGTTCGAAGCGTTCAACTTCGACGCTGGCATCTAGCTTTGATGACAAGAACAGTGCAAAATTACGATAGGATAACCTGTCGTCACTGGAGCTAAAGGAAAGCACGTAGGTGTGGAAGGTCAGATTCTCAGAAAACACACCCAACTTTCCTTGTAAAACATCAGGTATGATCGTCTCGTACATATCCATGTCATCTGAATGTGATATAACGTGATTACATTAAGAAAATGATAGGAGATTGAACACACCTGAGGTAATTGAGACACTTTTGGAGATATTAGTAGCCCGAACTGGACGCAAATTATCCGATAGTGCCCCAGCCATGTGTAGCTTTCGACAGGCTTCCAGGCATGCAGCCTTTCTTGCGATTTCCTCCGTTGCACATCTTTTGCCTTTGATGTATTTGACGGTGCAGATATCAGGAAGTGTCACGTTACAAGTTGTTCCCCCGTCTTCACCCTTGTAGAACTGAAAATTCGGATGTGCGTCATTCCTATAAATGCTACACTTAAACGAGAATGAAACGGTATATAAAAGAGTTACCCAAGTGTCGAGCAGTATTGGTGGAGTAACGAAACACTTGAATCGATGTTCACGACCGCACCCGTGGACTCAACATGATAGGCATCTTTCTGGCGATAAAAAAGTTGATGGTCATAGGTATCCTGAACAGTATGTAGCTGCTCATGCATCAACTTTTCCCCTTCTAGTATTGCATGTAAGAGTTTTTCCTCGTTGAGGTTCCCACTGGAGGAAAACAGGTGAGATAACCGGAATTGAAAGAAAGTAGGCTCACGATTCCATCAGAATAACGTAGTCAGATCCTTGTTTACGTGCACGGCCCCTTGACTGAATACTGCTACGCTCGGTTTTAGGCATGTTGAATCGTATAACAAGAGAACAGCTTTGAATATCAAGGCCTTCTTCAGCAACATTAGTCGCCACAATGACATTAGCCTGTAATGAACAGTTATATAGCATTGTTGCATAAGAGAAATCAGAGAAATCAGACAAACTCGATTTTCACCTTTCCAGCACGAAAGTCTTCCAATGAGTTTCTCTGAGTTGCCAGAGTTAAGCCCTTCAACTTATTTCTGTGACTTGCTACACACTGTGCTCTAACGTAGGGACGAGAGTTCAAAAGCAGAGTCAAAACCTTGGCTGCAATCACTCTCTCAACAAACACAATACAACGAAGATCTTGGGCAGACCTGCATAACAAAGCCGTAACAGTTAGTAGTGTGATTGGGGAAAATTATGTCTCACTTGTACTCATCAAGCACATCCAGTAAAAGTTGGACTTTAGAAGAAATGGCACGGATTTGATCATCTGCAGTACCTGTCCAAGAACGCACTTGTCAGTTAAAACTTACTATATGTTACCGTCCAAAATCGCTTTCTCTTCCAGAATGTTTAGCACACGCCTCAAGAATGCGGCTTCCGCATCACGTCCTTTTCCGTCACAGCCAGCGAGCATAATCTCTGCCGCCTGTAATACGAGATTTCGTAGGTTCCCAAATTGTTTAGCCCAACCTTTCTTGCAGAGAAGAGGCCCAACTCAAAGAGACAGTAGTTCAGAGTGTTGTATATCTTATTTACAGCTTGCCTTTCTTCTGGAAGTCGAAATTCTCTGGTTAAGTTCTGAAATGTGCAACATGTGTTAAACAATAACAAGCTAATTCTTTCAGTTGACCTCGAAACGATTGTCGATGTCCGTTGTACGATGCTTGCCTTTCGTGTCTGGCAAGTGCTCCTTGATTTTCATATCAGATGACGGTAAAAAGCTAGTTAGCTCTTTATCTGCGAAAGTGATAATCTGTGACAAAAGACCAGCGGGTCCATCAAATGAGACTTTAGATAGACAACAACCTTTGAGCGTAGCATAGTTTCAAGGCAATCAAAACTTTCTTTGAAAGCTTGTGGACCGCTCCACGTCTTGCCTGTAAATGCAGGTGAGGTTCATGCACACAACATCCTCATACCTTTTCCAACAATGGGTGACGCCGTCATGCCCAATATTCTCGGACACTTAGCTTCAGGCTTGTGATAAAACTCCTGTGAATGCAGTAACACTATCAGAAAACGAAGCAAAAGAAAGCACTTACGCTCATGATATTCGCATAAGGATGCCCCTTGGCACAGTGATGACATTCGTCAAAAATTAGCAGCTCAACATGATCCGGATTAAAAAATCGATGGCGAAGGTTGTCCAGCAGAATCGCAGGAGTCATGACAAAAACCTGTAGGTTCCACGCAAGAAGAGTAAAGCCAAAGTTAATAGAAAGAAAGAACCTCTTGCTTTTGAAGATGCGTTGTCCACCAATGAACATCCATGGTGGAAGTTCCACCGACGTAAGTACCAACGTAAAGGTCAGTGTAGCGCTCAATGACCTCGGCTTGCTGCCAACCATATAAAAAGTCCAAAATACTAGCACGATAGCAAGCAAGATGCTAACCTGCTCGCAAAGGCTCACTGTTGGGGCCAAAAACACGCAAATCCCTTTCTCTGGCTTGCGAAATAAGTGAGAAAGCGAGCGAATGAGAAGCACGGCGATCATCGTTTTGCCACACCCAGTTTCCAGGCACACGATCGTGTTCATTGCCAGCGTTTTCTCGAATAGAAATGTTTGATAGCTAAGAAACAAGATTTTTCAGCTGCATTGATGGGAAATCCATCTTCGTTACCTGCGCGGATTCGGCTCCTCGCACAATCGCCGTTCTGCGAGCTCGGCCATTGAAATTTCGATCGGTTGGAGCCGATTGAAGCTGGACGATTGGCGCCAAGAGAGAAACCCTACGCTATGGCGGGGAGGGAAACTAGAAACTTTTAAAAGCAAAGCATAACATGAGAAACCCTAATGCCACTCCCACAGGAAGTATTCTCGCACGGGCTGGAGCGATCGCCCATGGCAGAGGTAGATTTCTCCTCCTGTTTGCTTCCCGCCGCTCCGGAGCTGGATCTTTCTCCACGGATCGAAGGCGCTCGATGATCAGCGGGAAAATGTCGGTGTGGCTGCTCTCCCCGATCCATAGATCCGAATGGCCATAGCTCGTGATCACGAAGCGAGCGTGATCGAAGGTGGGATGGTGTTTCTTCATGAATTCGTGCGCTTGCTCAGACATTTGTGGTGTTCCCAGGATTGGTTTGCCGCCGGAGATGTAAGTCGTGGGAAGCGCGAGCCTCTCCGGTTTTGTCATGTAAGTTTCTTGTCCCCTGGCATCTACTATATGGCCAGCTCTCGCGATCTTTCTTAGATGTGGGAAAGCTTGCAGTGGTAGAACTGGTACCGCTTGGCTCACAAGCCAGTCGTGCATTTCTTTTCTTACGTTCTCGTGCCAGAATGTGTTGCCAAATATGCCTGAGAAAATGCTGCATTCGTCGCTCACGCAGCACTCCGTTCGTGGTATCGCTCGAGCTATTGCTCGGATAAGTTTGTGTCTTGTTGGTAGTTTTTGTTCACGCTTCTGATTGGTGATTGGAAGTGTTTTATGATCTCCCAGAATTTTCATAGATATCTGCGCAAATCTTTGTTAGCTCGTGCACTGATTCTTAAAACTTACAGGTATCAGAGGAAGTGCCATTTTCACCAATGCCGATGGAACCAGGCTGAAAAACATTGACGAGTTTGTGCAGACCAGTGAAGCAACACGAGAGACAGGTAAGTGTCCTCCCATTATGGCCATATGAATCAGTAGTCCGCCGATGCAATGCGCAATGACGTGAGCACAAGCTGGGCCATTTTTTGATTGTTCCATTCTTTCAAACGCTGCAAAACTCGTTAGCTGACTCTACTTTGCGTGTATGTGATGCAGCTTACCTGCTGGAATGTCAAACTTCGCAATGTCATCAAGATCAAACTTTTCTTGGCCGGGGTGAGATGGGTGAACTCTTGTCTGCAACAGCCATACCTCATATCCATTTTGCAGAAGCGATCGGACCATATCTTGTGGCTCGGTTGGTAGGCAGAAGCTTTCAGTGGAGTAGCCATTCAAAAGCAGCACCAGTCCTTTCTTCTGGTCCATGGAAAGTGGCCATTGTTTACAGGTAACTTTTGCTCCATCTTCTGCAAGCAACATCGTACTGTGCATTAGGACCGCTTGAAGTAGCGTCACCTGTTTTTTGCACTTACTGGTTTGCATCTCATGATGAACATAACTAGGATAGTCGAGTACTTCGTCTTCCGATCTGACATTTACTTCGGAAGGTTGATCAATTCGCCGGGGACGTCCAGAAAAGTATGTTTGCAGCAGACTCGATAGCAACTGCTTAAGAAACGAAAATTTCCCTGGTCCTTTCAAGCTTATCAACGACCTCAGAAGATTGAAGACACTGACGTGCAAAGTTCCCTGGAGTACTGAAGGGTTGGCACTCTCCTTGCCTGAAAGATCGACGAGCTGTGCGTTAAGTGTGGTCGATTCCTTATAGATCCAGAGACCGCAGAGGAAGGGCCTCATCTCTTTTTTTGCCATCAACAAGAACCTGCCAGTCTGCTCGTAACTTTCTGGATTTCTAGAAGGACTTCACTTACCGGCGGCCTGAAGACGTGGATAGAAGCAGATGGTAACGCATAAACTGAGTGAAGGGAGACTTCTCGCTCAGCGAACACAGGTTGACGTATCCGTCCAAGACATGCAAGGGGTCCTTTTCTAGCAACGGGATGAGCAGCTTTCCTCCTACTTGGCCATGGAGAATGGTTGTGCAGTTCGTCGTTTTCGGAACTATATGCATTGTTAGCTTCAACGTGCAAGGTATGCCATCGAAACTTCCGTCGAGTGTCTCATTGACAACAGTAACTTTGCTGGTTTTCAGTGGCTCGTCCTGGACAGGATGTTCCAAGGAACTCAAGCTTTGCCTTCGCGAGAAAAGGTAATATTTTGCATCCTTTGCTATGCAGCTTGATACCTTTTCTGCCACAATTGCTATAGTGCCTACTGGATTGACGCCTATCGAACAGGGAATTACCGATGCATCACAGATGTATAAGCCTGCATGGACATTCTTGTTGCTCCTTTCCTCACTGTTATGAGCGTTGGCTTGATTACTTGCAGGTGGAGCGTAAACCTGTCCACTCGGACTCGTGACCCCGGAAGTGATGCTCGTCGAAACATTGCAGCCTCCTAGGAGATGCACCGAGTTGCTCCGGAAGCGAGGTAGAAAGAGCTTCCCGTCAAGTTTAGAAGCAATCTTCTTAACTCGTTCGAGTTTTTTGCAGAAGAGCAAGTCACTGGATGCCTGGTACGTGATTTTTCCAGATTTCTCGTTCAAGGTAACGTGTCCATCCCCGGAGTCATAGCTTATCAAATTAAGTTGAAGTTCCTGAATGTTCTGTCTAGTTATCCACTGCATGAACTGGTCCCAAAGAGCATGAATGATTCCCCAGCTGACTGGCCACCTGTTTATGAGGATTCCTTTCAAGATTACGTAGGAACTTGCTTTCGGGATTGCTGAAGCCTATGGTCGTAGAAGTTAGAGCTTTGATGCATTGCGAAATGTTACCTGAATGGTGAAGCCGAGAGAAGAGGTGTGCGAGCTGGAAATAGATGGGCCTGGTCTTAGTGGGAGCGGCGTGCTTGGAAACTTTTCCTTTCCTAGTCCGCGTACTTGAGTTTGTGCAGAGGCTTCTGTTACGAATGCAATGTTGTTTCCATTGCAACTGACTCCACTCCCCAGCTTTTCTGAAAGTTGCAAGCCTCGCTCTTTTGATCTGAGCAAGATCCCAGTCGTTCCTAAAACACCAGCTGAGAGAGAAGAAGGCAGATGAAAGTCAGCAACCTCTAGAGTGTCAAGTTTTTCTTACCGGATAACACGACGTAATCTGCTGAGATGTAGTCCACTGAGTTTTCATGAACTCGCCATCTCCTGCTTCGAGCCTTGCCAAAGGGAGCCTGAAAGTGGCTGCTTGTAGCTTTTGGACTTTGGCTTACAAACAGGACTTCTCTCTCGGTGTAGATTTGAGCTCCTGCCTGCAAAAGTTTTGTTTTTTGCTCAACCAAAAACTAAACTTTTTGGCTTCGACATACCTGTGCAGCGAGCTGGATATAATTCTTGTCAGTGGAGCTCTTGGCGTTGTAAGAGCATCCTGTTAAACAGTTCCCACAGGCAACGCAGGCATCCTGTGCTGCTCCAGCGACACTTTTCTTACTCGAGAATGTCATGGTAAGCTTCACTGGAACTCTAGACATGTCTTCGATATCTTCTACAAGCTTATCCATGATCTGTGTCTTAGGAAAGTCGTGTGGCACACTCTCGGGCTGCAAGATCTCTTGTGCCTTCGCCTCAAACTCGTCCCAGTCTCTGTCCCACTCTTCCGGCCAGCGCGGATCACTGCGAGCTCTTCGAGGCGTCGGCATGATCACCCCAGCGTTCACCAGAGATCCGCCTCCAAGCCCAGACGCTGTCACGGCGAGTGAATCGCCATCAACATACACCTGAGAACATTAACAACATCAAAGGTGAGTGAGAGGTCTTTTTACTTTCAAGCTTTGCTCGCCTCGTATAACGAGTTCTTCCTTCCAAAGCTGCCGAATCCAGTGTGGAAGCGCATGGTGGAAAGAAGCTGCCACACATTCGTTGGAAAATCCCGAGGCTCCCATCGCTTGCCTTTCTCCAAAACGCAGACGCTCAAACCAGCTTGAGCGAGCCGGCACGCAGCGATGGCTCCGCCATAGCCAGAGCCCACCACTACAACATCGAAGGTGCGAGGCGGAGAAGCCATCTCAAAACGATACCGCTTTCTTCTCATTTGCTTGGAAGCTATTTTATAGGAGCTCTCGCATGTTGGAGTTTATGAGAAGAACAAACGACCCTGTTTCAATCATTCTTGTCTTTGTGAAAAGAACAAACGTGAATATTCAATCCTGGTCCTGTTCACAAGGAATTTTCTTTTTCTCTTTTCTCAAGCAGTTTTGGCGGGAATTTCAAATTCTAGAGCTAGGGTTTATCAGGGCAAGCAAGCACAGCATGGCGATCGCGAGCAGCGCCATCAGGATGGCCACGGCGCTCCTCCCAGCGGCTTTCTTGTGGCCGGCCAGTGGCTCCTCCCACGGCAATATCGCGTTCTTCTGCAGATTATCGCTCGGATCGCTCCGCTCGGCGGATTTTAGGCGTTCCAGCACCAGCGGGAACACGTCCTCGTGCGAATGCTCTCCGATCCACAGGTCAGAGTGTCCATAATCTGGAATCACGATTCGAGCGTGGCTGAATCCAGGCTGATGCCGCTTCATGAATCCGTGCGCGCGGAGAGAGGTCTCTGGAGTGACGAGAATGGGGCGGCCGCCGGAGATATACGTGGTGTGAACTGCTAGCCTCTCCGGATGAGCCATGTAAGTCTCCTCTTCTCCTTCACTGTTGACTATGTGTCCCGCTAGAGCGATTGATCGCAAATGTGGAAATCCTGCCATTGGAAGAACTGGCACTGCCTTCTTGTTCAGCCAGTCGTGCATTTCTAGCCCGACGTTTTGGTGCCAGAATGTGCTGCCGAAAATTCCTGAGAAAACATTGCATTCATCGCAGGGACAGCTTTCAGTGCGTGGTATCGCTCGAGCGATTGAGCGCAGTAGTCTGTGTCGCCAGGGCATTGATTCTTCTTTAGGAGGACTTATCGGCACGATGGTGTTCTTTCCCAGGATTTTCATAGAAATCTGTAGAAAAACGTAAAGATGTAATTCTCAGTTCGTAGATGGCTAACGCAAAAACCACTTACAGGGATGAGAGGCAGAGTCAACTTCACGAGCGCTGATGGAACCAAGTTGAAGAACATGGACGAGTTTGTGCAAACTAGCGATGCGATCGACGATGGAGGTATGTGTCCACCCATCAAGCTCATGTGAATTGATAGTCCTCCTATGCAGTGAGCAATAACGTGTGCCGCTATCTGCTTTTTCTTGACTTGGTTTATCTTCGCAAACGCTGCAAATTTTAGCGATTAAAATTTTCCTCCTTGAAAAAACAGGAACATACCAGATGGAATGTCGAAGTGAGCAATATCGTCGAAAGTGAAGGAATATTTTGTTGGATGCAATGGATGCAAGCGTGTTTGCAGCAGCCAAGGTTCGTAATCATTCTGTATCAGCGTTCGTATGATGTCATTACTTTCTGTAGGAAGCCAGAAGCTCTCTGTGGAATAACCATTGAGCAACAAAACGACTCTGGAGTTTTGGTCCTCCGCAGCATCTTTTGAGCACCATTGCTTGCAGGTAATGTGTACACCGTCCTCTACAGCCATCCATCATGCTCGTGTCAGAATGACTGCCTGTTAAGAAATTTGTTTCGTACCTGTCACGAGTTCATGAAGCACGTAGTTTGAATAGTTGTTCGTCAAGTTTTGTGTCCTGGTCACCTTCTCTGTTGGAGTCCTTGGTGTTCTCATCAAGTACGTCCTAGCAAGTGTTTCCATCAGCCGTCCTACAAACTCCCGCTTCCTTGGTCCTCGCAACGATATTAGCGACTTAAGTAACTCGGGAAGAGTTACTCGCAACTTTCCTTTCAGGACAACCGGTTTTGATGACTCCTGCTGAGTTCGAACAACGACATGTAGCGTGGTCGACTCATAGAAGCACTTTAAGCCGCTCATGAATGGTCGCATCTCTTTCCGTCCGTCCAAAGTATACCTTCACAAACCATAGCATGTTTTGCATGAGACCAGACCAGATTTAGAGGAGGAAGGAAAACTTACCTGGTGCCCGTGTTTGTTGACAGAAGCAGGTGATAATGCATATACTGAGTGAAAGGAGTTTTTTCATCGACATGGCACATATTTACGTATCCGTCAACCACATATAGAGGACCTGGTTCCAGCGAAGGAATAAGAACATCGCCTCCAACATATCCACGCAGGAGAGGATGACTATCTCCAAACAAACGATTGCTTGCAGGCGTATCCTTGTCTTGTCCCATATGCATCACCAGTCGCAGTGTGCAAGGAGCTCCTCCAATATTTCCTTTCAATTTTTCGTGGATAATGACATAGCTGCACTGCATTTCGGAAGCAAGTCGCGAGTTGAGGTATGTTCTTGATTTTAAATTACTAAGATCGCCAGTAAATACTTCGTGCTGAAACTTTTGTGACAGGTAGTTCTGCGCATCGTTGACAATGCCATTCGCAACTCTCTCTGCCACTATTGAGATCGTGCTGACCGGATTCAGTCCAACTGAGCATGGAATCAAAGAGGCGTCGCAAACGTACAGGCCTGCGTGAACTTTTGTTGTCTTCCTGAACTGACCGTTGCTCGTCTCAGGGAAGAAAATCTGGCCGTTTGCGTTTGCCACGCCGGTGGATGAGTCTGTTGCTGCGTTGCAACCTCCCAAAAGATGAACGGCAGCACTTCTGAAGCGACTCATGTACAGCTTCCCACGAAGGCGAGCTGCCAACTTTTCAGCGGTCCGAAGCTTATGATGAAAAAGTAAGTCCTTCGCTGCACTGTATGCCACTCTTCCTGTTAGCTTGTCTATCTTGATTTGCCCGTCAGCAGCGTCATATCCCATCATATTCAATACCAGAGCTTGGCTGTTCTGCGTTCCTGTCCATTGTTTGACTTGTTCCCAGATACCAGTGAGAAACCCGTAGTCCCCTAGGCCATAAGTAATGACTCCCCTTAGTAGAAATTCTGGAGCAGCTTGAGGAATACAAGAGCCCTGAAAGAGGTGTTTAGCTTGATATAAGCTTATTTCACTCATATTACCTGTATTGTAAAGCCAAGTGATGATGTATGTGAACTTGATATGACTGGACCAGGACGTAGCTGCATGGGAGTCCTTGAGAAATCTTCTTCTCGAAGTCCTTGAGCTTGAGTCTGTGCGGCTGTGCCTGTTATGTAAGCTATATTATTTCCATTGCAGCTAACTCCGTATCCCAACTGTTGGGACAGTTGTAGGCCTCGCTCTTTTGATCGCAAGAGGATCCCATTCGTGCCAAGAACACCAGCTGAAGAAAGAAGGGGCAGCAAATATTAGCAACGAAAGTTTCGAGCTTTTACAAGATAGTACCGGCTACGATGACGTAGTCTGCCGAAATATAATCCACTTCATTCAGGTGCACACGCCATCTTCTTGTAGCTACTGATTTGCAATTTGCTCCATCATTGCAGTTTTGACAACAGAATTCTTCTGAGTTCTCGCTGATG